GTGATACTGTTTACCTAATTCTCTCACTACCAGTCTATAAACCATTAAATCAGGGTTACAGCCGTATTGTGATACCGTTTACCAAAACCTCTCACTACCAGCCTATAAACCATTAAATCAGGGTTCCAGCCTTATTGTGATACTATATGCACAAACATCTCACTACCAGTCTATAAACCATTAAATCAGGGTTCCAGCCGTATTGTGATACTATATGCCCAAACCTCTCACTACCAGTCTAAGTACCATTAAATCAGGGTTCCAGCCGTATTGTGATACTGTATGCCCAAACATCTCACTACCAGTCTAAGAATCATTAAATTAGGGTTACAGCCGTACTGTGACACTGTATACCCAAAAATCTCACTACCAGTCTAGGTACCATTAAATCAGGGTTCCAGCCTTATTGTGATACTGTTTACCCAAACCACTCACTACCAGTCTAAGTACCATTAAATCAGGGTTACAGCCGTATTGTGATACTGTTTACCCAAACCACTCAATACCAGTCAATAAACCATTAATTCAGGGTTCCAGCCGTATTGTGATACTATATGCCCAAACCTCTCACTACCAGTCAAAGTACCATTAAATCAGGGTTCCAGCCGTATTGTGATACTTTATGCCCAAACATCTCACTACCAGTCTAAGTACCATTAAATCAGGGTTACAGCCGTATTGTAATACTGTTTACCCAAACCTCTCACTACCAGTCTATAAACCATGAATTCAGGGTTCCAGCCGTATTGTGATATTGTATACCCAAACCTCTCACTACCAGTCTAAGTACCATTAAATCAGGGTTACAGCCATATTGTGATACTGTATACCCAAACCTTTCACTACCAGTCTAAGTACTATTAAATCAGGGTTCCAGCCGTATTGTGATACTATTTACCAAAACCACTCACTACCAGTCTATAAACCATTAATTCAGGGTTACAGCCGTATTGTGATACTGTTAACCTAAACCTCTCACTACCAGTCTATAAACCATTAAATCAGGGTTACAGCCGTATTGTGATACTGTTTACCAAAACCTCTCACTACCAGCCTATAAACCATAAATTCAGGGTTACAGCCGTATTGTGACACTGTATACCCAAACCACTCACTACCAGTCTAAGTACCATTAAATCAGGGTTCCAGCCTTATTGTGATACTATATGCCCAAACATCTCACTACCAGTCTAAGTACCATTAAATTAGGGTTACAACCGTATTGTGACACTGTATACCCAAACCTCTCACTACCAGTCTAAGTACCATTAAATCAGGGTTCCAGCCGTATTGTGATACTGTATGCCCAAACATCTCACTACCAGTCTAAGAATCATTAAATTAGGGTTACAGCCGTACTGTGACACTGTATACCCAAAAATCTCACTACCAGTCTAGGTACCATTAAATCAGGGTTCCAGCCTTATTGTGATACTGTTTACCCAAACCACTCACTACCAGTCTAAGTACCATTAAATCAGGGTTACAGCCGTATTGTGATACTGTTTACCCAAACCTCTCACTACCAGCCTATAAACCATAAATTCAGGGTTACAGCCGTATTGTGACACTGTATACCCAAACCACTCACTACCAGTCTAAGTACCATTAAATCAGGGTTCCAGCCTTATTGTGATACTATATGCCCAAACATCTCACTACCAGTCTAAGTACCATTAAATTAGGGTTACAACCGTATTGTGACACTGTATACCCAAACCTCTCACTACCAGTCTAAGTACCATTAAATCAGGGTTCCAGCCGTATTGTGACACTGTATACCCAAACCTCTCACTACCAGTCTAAGTACCATTAAATCAGGGTTCCAGCCGTATTGTGACACTGTATGCCCAAACCTCTCACTACCAGTCTAAGTACCATTAAATCAGGGTTCCAGCCTTATTGTGATACTGTATGCCCAAACATCTCACTTCCAGTCTTAGTACCATTAAATCAGGGTTCCAGCCGTATTGTGACACTGTATACCTAAACCTCTCACTACCAGTCTAAGTACCATTAAATCAGGGTTCCAGCCGTATTGTGACACTGTATGCCCAAACCTCTCACTACCAGTCTAAGTACCATTAAATCAGGGTTCCAGCCGTATTGTGACACTGTATACCCAAACCTCTCACTACCAGTCTAAGTACCATTAAATCAGGGTTCCAGCCGTATTGTGACACTGTATGCCCAAACCTCTCACTACCAGTCTAAGTACCATTAAATCAGGGTTCCAGCCGTATTGTGACACTGTATACCCAAACCTCTCACTACCAGTCTAAGTACCATTAAATCAGGGTTCCAGCCGTATTGTGACACTGTATGCCCAAACCTCTCACTACCAGTCTAAGTACCATTAAATCAGGGTTCCAGCCGTATTGTGACACTGTATACCCAAACCTCTCACTACCAGTCTAAGTACCATTAAATCAGGGTTACAGCCGTATTGTGATACTGTATACCCAAACCTCTCACTACCAGTCTAAGTACCATTAAATCAGGGTTACAGCCATACTGTGACACTGTATACCCAAACCACTCACTACCAGTCTTAGTACCATTAAATCAGGGTTCCAGCCGTATTGTGACACTGTATACCTAAACATCTCACTACCAGTCTAAGTGCCATTAAATCAGGGTTACAGCCGTATTGTGATACTGTATACCCAAACCTCTCACTACCAGCCTATAAACCATTAAATCAGGGTTACAGCCGTATTGTGATACTGTTTACCAAAACCTCTCACTACCAGTCTATAAACCATTAAATCAGGGCTACAGCCGTATTGTGATACTGTTTACCAAAACCTCTCACTACCAGCCTATAAACCATTAATTCAGGGTTACAGCCGTACTGTGACACTGTATACCCAAACCTCTCACTACCAGTCTAAGTACCATTAAATCAGGGTTCCAGCCGTATTGTGATACGGTATGCCCAAACATCTCACTACCAGTCTAAGTACCATTAAATTAGGGTTACAGCCGTACCGTGACACTGTATACTCAAGAAGTGGAATAAACGTAATGGGGATTTTGAAGAATTAAAACGATCCTTTGGTCAATCTTGAGCATGCTTTTCTCAAATATGCTTCTTTATAAAAAAAACTTTTGACTTTTTGATCCTTTACACTACCATACCAAACTGATAGAACGCCTACGTTCTCTTGTTACGTGAGCTTTCTTTTCAAAGAAAGGCTTACGGCGATAAAATATATGGTCGTAAACTATGTTGGAGCTTATTTCGTTACAAGTACAACAAAGGCCAAAACTAAATATACCGAGGATGATATTGTGAGAATAATTGAGTTCTTGGTCGACAATACCTTTGTCGAGTTTGGTGTCAATATTTTCCAGCAGACTGTAGACATGCCTATGGTAACAAACTGTACCCCTCTTTAAGCCGATTCGTTTATTGTTTTCATATGAAGCTGAATTTATTGATGAGCTTATCAGGACTGGTAACAACATTTAAGAAAATCAGTCGATTTCACATTCAGATATATCGACGATGCGCTGTCTTTGAATAACACGAAATCCATTGACCACGTCAACACATATATCCTCCACAGCTTGAAAACAAGTGCACCACAGACTAATCTACCGTAGCCGGTGACCGACAAGGATGGCTGACTGCTGAGCGGAACGATAAGCTGGAAGATTTCGACTATCCGAATGTGAACTCTCCCTTTCCTGATAGGAACATTCACAACATACGGTGTCTACATGTCGCAGTTCAATATCACGACTTACGAGATATATGTTGACTGCTGTCGGACAAACTTATTACAGTGTGTTTCCAAATTTTAGATATGACGGTTGATGAAGAATATGGACACGATTTATTGTCGCCATCAGGATCTTGGTGAGAAATCTCTGTAAAGTATGATCATGAAGGTCGATATTTTAATTATTCTTAATGCTTGTGGTTTTATAGTCACTACACGAGTTCTCGATGTGAGGACGTGAGATTTCTTTGATTCAATGAAGATTTACATGGCAGGTGACGTCGATGAAGAAGAAGAATTCGCGTTCCCTCCCAGATCCCATTCCCTTTGTACTTTTTCAAGGGTCTCCATGTCAATGTTTCTTTCATGCAATATTGACTTAGTTTTATCAATTTTGAGTTCGAATCATGGTTTTGTTAACACTTCGGTATTCTCTCTTAGTTTTTTATTTGATATTGTCGATGAAGCAGAAGACACTTACCCTTTCTGAACATTTCGTCATATTCTTCTTTACCTTTGGCAAGGGTCTCCGAATAAGTGTTTGTTTTGTTCAAATTGTTTTCTAGGTTCATCAACATTGAGTTCTAGTTCATTTCTTTGTTTTCACACACGTTATGCTCTTAATTGTTTTTATTATTATTTCAAAGCTTTTATTAATGTTAGGTCATTCACCAACGTTATATTATTTTTGTGTCTGTCAAGTTCATCACTAACAAGGTCCTAATTCATTTTAGGAGAACTATGTGTATTCTCACAGGTTAATACTTTGCTTAACTTAGAGATATTTAGATTTTGATAATCCAAACACAGATATCTAGCCGGGCAGTTTCTGTAAAAACTCGTACGAAAACTACAAACATTAGCCGCCTTCGGTTCTTGTATCTTGTTCTAGTAAGATTTTAATCAGAATGAAGATTAACTCCAGCACAACTAATAAACATTGCAAGTCATGTAAGTTGGAAGAGTCGCGTCCCCTTCTTCGCGTTTTTCGCTTCTCCCACTGTCTCGTACGATATGTATCATGACAGTGATAGTGAATGTGTACGTTTCTTTTACAGAAAGGATTCCAGATTATTGTGCATCGATTAATGAATATAGGAGAAGAAGTTACATAGGGACAACAGACACACAATGTTTGGTATATGTACGACAGGCCTCGTCCAAAAACTTTGCCAACACCCTTTGTGGCAGAGGTCAATTACTTGAGATAAGGAGTCAGAATCAACAGCATCAACTGAACTCAGTACTCGGGACCAAGTATCACAGCGACGTATGGCTAGGACTGCAAATAGTCCGCAGTCATTGGAGGTGGGATTCCGTAGGTAAAAACTAGTTTTTGAGTTGTTGCAGTTGCCATTAATGAACATTTACGAAATCAAATAATTAAAAAGCTGACATTTTGTTGTTTTGTACAAATGTACAAAAAAATGTGCAATCTTTGCATATGATTAATAATTAAATAGTTCAAATTTTATATATACAAACAATGGTATGTTCGTGGTATAATTGTATTGACGTGATAATATTTTATTCTATTTCGGTGGGGGTTTTTTTTTTTTATATTTTTCAGATAATGCACAATTGATATGGAGAAGGCTACCAAAACAGCATTCATTCCTTTTCTCGCGGTCTAAAAGTTCGTAAAAGAAATAAATGTAGTTGCTATGCAATTTCGTTAATTTTATAACTATAACATTCATAAACATGCACCTTTTCAAGGTTTATAAGCTTATAACGACTCCTTGCGCAAATGAATAAGAAACACAAACTTAATTGAAAATGTATGTTAACGACTTGCGAAGGGATATTGCTTTGAAAAAGGGAAACTTTTTTTCACTCAAATAGAACATTCTGAAGACATACATGTGTTAGTATATCGATTATTTTCATGTATATGTCATGAACCTTAAAAGTTTCAATTCTTTTCGTAGAAAACTGCGCTGTAATTTGCCTCCAGTCTAAGGTCTGGAAGGCGGTTTCCTGTGATGAGACACATTCCTTCATATGTCAGTATGGTAAGTATCTGATTTTATATATAATGTCAAATAATTCATTTACAATTCAACAGTCTATAAGAGAAGTGATCTCCACATCTATCTGTTATCTTTCTTTGTCATACTCTACATGATGCAAGAATATTCAATCACATCTAGTAAGGCTACCGCAGTGTTGATGCAAAGGTACATGTAGATACTCCAACGAACTTATTGCAATCATAACAAAAAATAAAATCTTAGAATCACGTAGCAGTTTGTCGATTCCTTAAGAAATGTTCTATCCTCACCCAATCGATTGCCATCTCGCCAATTCAAGAATATTATCCTCTGAATAAAGTGTGTTTTCAATAAAGTGCATCAGGACAATTGCGAAAAGTTAAGGAAATATACGGATGGTTTGTTATCAACTTTGAACTCCGCTACAGATGTAATTATGTGGTATATATGTAATAAATAGTAACAGAAACATTTTCAGAAGTTTAATCTGTATTGTTTAAATTATATATCTTAATCTAACACATAATTGGTATATAACTGAAATCTGAGGAATGCAGGAAGCTAACATAAATGTATTTTGGTCAAATATTTGCAGTTTTATATATCTATATAAAGTCAAATGTAAGCTAAACATGTCAAACATATTAGTTTGACATTTGATATGAATTACAAATTAATGCAAATTAACGCTATTTGTAGAAAAAAAATGGTCGATGCATCTCTTATTTAAAAACGAATCGACCAAACAATCAAGCGTGACACAATACAGATAAACATTATTATTACGATGCTATCACTGCAAGTATGTGACAAAAATGTGCCTTAATTATTCGAATTTGATCACATACGAGTATACGTTTGATAATTCTGTTTCTATTACTATTCATAAACAAAATTATTTTTTATGCAAACAGTTGTGAAGCATCATTATAAACAGGCTGTTAGGTTGTCTCAGTATAAGCACATCATCATCCAGTCATCTGTAAATAATTATTCGGTTTATTTTATCAAGATTGATTTTAATATATAATATTATATATTCACAGATAAAATACCGATCACGTCCACGACTCTGACGCCATTAGTGATTACAACTCCTTCTCCAAGGCCTACCTCGTCTTCCGACAAACAGACAACGACCGGAACAAGTGGAAAATCAACTTCTTTATCAATCCCTGCAACACCTCATATATCAGATCATATCTCAACTCCTTCTTCAACTCCTACACCTAATAATACATCAACTATTGCATCATATCCTTCATCAACTTCTACATCATCTCCAATATCAACTTCTATATCATCTCCAATATCAACTTCTATATCATCTCAAATATCAACTTCTATATCATCTCCAATATCAACTTCTATATCAACTCCTACATCAACTCCTACATCACCATCCATATTATCCTCTACATCAATTCCTACACCAACTACTAAATCAACTCCTACACCAACTACTAAATCAACTCCTACATCAACTTCTACATCATCTCCAATATCAACCTCTATATCATCTCCAATATCCACTTCTATATCATCTCAAATATCAACTTCCATATCATCTCCAATATCCACTTCTATATCATCTCAAATATCAAGTTCTATATCATCTCCATTATCAACTTCTATATCATCTCAAATATCAACTTCTATAGCATCTCCAATATCAACTTCTAAATCAACCCCTACATTAACTCCTACATCACCTCCTTCCTCACCATCCATATTATCCTCTACATCACCTCCTACATCAACTCATACAACAACTACTAAATCAACTCCGACATAAACTCCTACATCACCTCCTTCCTCACCATCCATATTATCCTCTACATCAACTCCTACACCAACTACTACATCAATTCCTACACCAACTACTAAATCAACTCCTACATCAACTCATACACCAACTACTAAATCAAATCCTACATCTGCTCCAACATCAACTTCTAAAACTGCTCCAACATCAACTTCTTCATCAACCCCTACATTCATTTCTACATCAACTGCTTCATCAGCTCATTTATCAATTTCTTCATCAACTCCTACATCAACGTCTTATTCAACTCCTCCATCAACTTTTATATCAACTCCTTCATCAATTCTTTTCTCAACTCTTTCATCAAAATCTGCATCAACTTCTCCATCAACATTTACATCAACTCCTTCATCATGTCCTTCAACAATTCGTTCATCAACTCTTTCATTAACATCTGCATCAACTCCTTCATCAACTTTATTATCAATTCTTAAATCAAAGCCTGCATCAGTACCTACATCAACATCTACAACAAAACCTACATTAGCCAACACATCAACTAATGCATTACCTTCTACATCAAATATGCCATCATATCCGACATCAACTCCTTCTATAAATTATACATCATCCCCGTCATCATCTCCTACGTCATATCCGACATCAATAGCAACATCAACTCCCTTATCAACTATAACATCACTTTTTACATCAATTTCTATATCAAATAATGCGTCATTTCGAACAAAACCTACTCCTTCATCATCTACCCCGACTCCAACATCACCTTTCGTGAAAACGGCTATAACAACACGTAAACCACCTCGGACATCTTCGTCTTCATCAACACCGTCACAAGTTTGGACTCCTAATCATAACTCTGTGTCTGATGGTAAAACAGGATCACAAACTAAGTTAAATGCTTGCTCCGTTACAACGGGAACTTGGATTAAACGTGCAACTCGTATCCATAAAGTACATTCTCAAAATCCACCAAATGATTATTCAGATGGATTACGGGACAGGACAACACGAATAATGAAAGTGATAACTACGCCTTTACCCACACAACAACGTCACGTGACAGATATATCATCACAACGTTCATCTTCAACGCCAGTAATACCACAAACGAAACGACCTACAACTACTCTTATGACTCAAACTATTCATAATTTATATCCAACTGTTTTATTTTCTAATAATAGAAAAAAAGATGATGTGCTGACAGAAAACAGTATCAGACGTCAGAGCACTTCATCATCATCTGGCGATGACCTGCTTACGTCAGACCGCGGGACAATGACGTCAACCAGTCTTGTCTATGTGTCTGATGACTTAAAACGTAACGGTATAACTACAAAGAAGGATATCAATACTCTAGAAAGTTCGTCAGTGTCGAACAATTTGAAGGATTCGAATACGAAAGAGTCGGAAAGTAATTTTAAACTTATCATTGCTATGGCGGCTGGATGGGGTGGAGTGTTGGGGATAATACTTGTACTTATTGCAGTTCACGTGAACAGGTAAGTTGTTGTACTAAACAATTTACGTATACAGGTAAGTTGTCATACCAAAAAATTTACGTATACAAGTAAGTTGTCATACTAAACAATTTACGTATACAGGTAAGTTGTCATACTAAACAATTTACGTATACAGGTAAGTTGTCATACTAAACAACTTACGTATACAAGTAAGTTGTCATACTAAACAATTTGCGTATACAGGTAAGTTGTGGTACTAAACATTTTACGTATACGGCTAAGTTGTGGTACTAAACATTTTACGTATACGGGTAAGTTGTCATTCTAAACAATTTACGTATACAAGTAAGTTGTCATACTAAACAATTCACGTATACAGGTAAGTTGTGGTACTAAACAATTTACGTATACAGGTAAGTTGTGATACTAAACAATTTACGTATACGGGTAAGTTGTCAAACTAAACAATTTACGTATACAGGTAAGTTGTGGTACTAAACATTTTACGTATACGGGTAAGTTGTCAAACTAAGCAATTTACGTATACAGGTAAGTTGTCATACTAAACAACTTACGTATACAAGTAAGTTGTCATACTTAACAACTTACGTATACAAGTAAGTTGTCATACTAAACAATTTACGTATACAGGTAAGTTGTGGTACTAAACATTTTACGTATACGGGTAAGTTGTGGTACTAAACAATTTACGTATACAGGTAAGTTGTCATACTAAACAATTTGCGTATACAGGTAAGTTGTGATACTAAACAATTTACGTATACAGGTAAGTTGTTGTACTAAACATTTTACGTATACGGGTAAGTTGTCATTCTAAACAATTTACGTATACAAGTAAGTTGTCATACTAAACAATTTACGTATACAGGTAAGTTGTTGTACTAAACATTTTACGTATACGGGTAAGTTGTCATTCTAAACAATTTACGTATACAGGTAAGTTGTGATACTAAACGATTTACGTATACAGGTAAGTTGTGGCACCTTACGAAATTCATGTATACAGATGGTCTGGTACGCAAGAAATCACGTACAACACTAATGTATTGGAGTCACATCCCCATTAAACATATACAGCAAATACTGTATCCGTTTCCTCACTACCTTTGCTCTGAATGAAATATCGGTTTTTCTTTCTCTTCGAATTTGTCAGTACATATCTGTTTGTCTCTGCTTTTGTTTTAAGGTCTCCTCCTGTTCAATGATTTATTCAACTTTTTTTTCTTTTTCATTTTTTTTATTATTGTTATTTCTTTGTTTGTTTGCACATAATAAGTGTTTTCCTTTTTGTTCATATTGTAGTTTTTATATATATTTTATTGATTTTTAAATCGAATATATAAATATTAAAACACTAGATTATATCGAAATATTGTTACCGTAGAACTGTACTATCAAGAACACAGAAAAAAAATGTGATTGTATTATTTTTTAATAGGCGACGACGACGTTCCCCGCCAGCACAAAGGTCTTTACACCTGACGTCCAATGCTTTAGAGAACAAGCTGTACGGAGTGATACAGAGTGAGATGTCCTCTACAACTAATGTGTGACATTAAAGACAACTAATACCAGTGCTCGTAAAGATTATACGATACAGAGACATTCACTGTAAGCTACCGAGCCAGTTATTTTCAATACATTCCCACTAATCTCCATTAGGACGATCTGTGATATTGTTTTTATATCATGGTCGCCTTGAAAATCTTGTTATAGTTTATTTTTTTAGAAGTACTTATGTTTTGTCATTCTTTGTTCTTATTTTTAACCGTTAAAAAATTATAACGACTAAAAAGTCAGCGTATTACTGTATGTTATAGATAGGTCAACGTATTACTGCATGTTATAGATAGCTTTAGTCAGGATTCTTTAAAAAATTCGAAAGGTAAGACAGCTTAACTATCATAGACCTGCATGGTACAACAAAGATGGTAATATGATTATCATAGACCTACAGGGTAACAATAGGGTTGATATCTGATTATCATAGACCTACAGGGTAACAATAGGGTTGATATATGATTATCATAGACCTGTAGGGTAACAATAGGGTTGATATCTGATTATCATAGACCTGTAGGGTAACAATAGGGATGGTATCCGATTATCATGCATACTTATGATATCCAACGATGTCATTATCGGACTACACTAGATCTGCATTGTACCAAAATTGACGACAATGACTGTCGCAGACCTGCAATGAACGTTTGTGCCAATTCCCATAATTGTGAATTTGTTATTTCGTATATAAGTCCTTAAATTATCAAAATTACGTATAGTGTGCAATACCGATGTAAAAACATACAATCATGAAGTATTATTTATCATTATGCAATGTTGTGGTGTGTATTGTATTATATATATAATACAAGAGAAGAACCACAAAATCTTTGTATTTTCACAATTTTGCTGGAGAGATATTGAATTCTTTACGATTTTGTAAAAAAAATAAAAAAAAAAAAAAAAAAAAAAAAAAAAAAATAAAAAAAACACTATGACATCAAAAGTGATCGGCATACTAAATAAAATAAAACGTGTCGGCATGGTGGAACATGTGTCGCCATCTTCTGACATTATTATTATTTTGACATATTTCAAAGTAAGTGACAACATACGTGACTGTCAGCAAAATAGACAAACAAGATGTAATTATTCATGGTTTGTCATCTGTGATCCAAGTAAAACTTCTTTATAGTCATCCAAGCAGTATATCTAGTTCAATCTTGTATTAAAAATCGATTTCCAACTTTTTGCTCCTAGCATCACCGATGAGTCCTAGAAGGACGAAATAGATGTAGCATGCTGTGTAATTCATTGTTTGACATACCTTATCTATTACCTAATGTTAACGGGACAATCCCCTGTTAGATGTAGGATGCTGTGTAATTCATTGTTTGTCATACCTTATCTATTACCTAATGTTAACGGTACAATCCCCAGTTAGATGTAGGATGCTGTGTAATTCATTGTTTGTCATACCTTATCTATTACCTAATGTTAACGGTACAATCCCCTTTTAGATGTAGGATGCTGTGTAATTCAATGTTTGACATACCTTATCTATTACCTAATGTTAACGGTACAATCCCCTGTTAGATGTAGGATGCTGTGTAATTCAATGTTTGACATACCTTATCTATTACCTAATGTTAAAGGTACAATCACCTGTTAGATGTAGGATGCTGTGTAATTCAATGTTTGACATACCTTATCTATTACCTAATGTTAA